CGCACCGTGGTATACACTCTTAAATTAAGCACTGTATTCTCTATTTAACAAACTTTACATGATTAATTGGTTCCTAACTAGTCTTTAGACAGTGTGGCAAGCAGTACAATAATTTATCCCTAGCTGTTAGTGTGCTCTATGGATGCAGCTGTTGGGTCAGGGTGTAGAAAGAGTGGAAATGACCAGCCCTGTTCATTGCTGACTTATTTGGAGCCTGCAGTCTATTATATTGTTGCTATTTCTGTTCATCTATTTCTAGTGACTAACTGCAATACAATGCAGAGTAATATGTGCCTGTTGTGTAGATATGTAAAAAAGGTATGCTGGAATTTAGTGCTAAATATTGGAATTGTCTTTGTACTCTCTAACATTTGTTGGTAGTGACTTTGTTTAATTAGGCTACTGCCTTAGCAAGTGGTTTACGCTTTTATATTGTACATTCTTCTGACCCAAGCATCTTGCAGTTTATGCAATGTTTTGGAGAGCTAGTGTTCACTAATCTATAGGTTAAACAAATGTAGTGTTGCCCACACGCAATGTTATCTAGGTTTTGTGAATTAAGTTAAACAGTTCATTCAAGGAAACTGTGTTTCTTCTAGTTAGTCCGGAATGGATTTGTAATGTATCAATTGCATTATATATTAGACTAAAAAGAGGGTATCTTGCTTTTATTTGTGAATGCATGGACTACAGACTGCTTGTTTTGAGAAGCTTTATTGCTGTGGGCTGAGCAGCTGGTCTGGCTCTACATCTTGATAACCCTCTACTTATTGTATGTTTTAATGTTTGGAAATGTATGTATTGATGCGTTTCCCAACAAGAGTCCACAGTTTGTCATGTGTGATTTAAAGACTGCAATATTGTCACCTTTTTCAAGACACTGGATAAGGCATTTTGTCTTCGTATTAGGATTTTTACCCACTAAATATTTTTCAGGGAATTCCAAACATGTTTGTGTAAATTTACGGGGTGTTTGGTTTTTCTCTTTTCTCCATCTCTTTATATAGCTATATTTCTGAAGTCGTGTAAATGTCTGTTTGAGCAGGGTATACATTCTCTCTGCTAAAAACGCAGCTTACTTCAAGTATATGTTTTGGCTTCAAGGGGTTTGTGTAACTGTCTTGAAGTTGCCAGTTCTATGAAAGAAGGTTAAAAAGGAAAATACTCTTGAGCTCCAAAATCCACTATAGCTTAATGTTTTGATTATGGTGCTATCCCATCTGAAAACAGGTTGCAAAAAGGCAAAAACAAAGTTTGTCAAAAACTTATTGTATACATACCACCTGAAACTTTCTGCTTATTTTTCCAGCATATGGTGGCAGTACCTATGGGTTGTGCCTCCTTAACTGGGACAAGCATCTACGAGAGAGAAGTTAAATAAAAGTCCCTTCCCATTATCCCATAAAGGGCTTCCCCTGGCAAATCCACTTTGGTTATCCTTGCCCCAGCACGGGGATGGATTAAGCTTCTACTTGAGGTGAGGCACACAGGTTGATGTCTGGGGGAGGAAGCACAAGAGCCACCCAAGTGGTAGGCTGAGCAGCATGCGCCAAGTATGTTCTAGCTTTGATTATGGACGGGCAAGGGGATGCCTTTGTGACGCTACAGGCAGTGCGCACAGCGGTGGAATGCATGCCAGGGTGGTGTTGCGTTCCACTGAAATTCTGGGTATGCCACTGCACACGTGAACTGGAACTTCTGTGAAAAGGCACCAGATTTGAATCAATGGGTGTATAAATGCTGTGCTGTTTACCTTCTGGATGCTGGTCAGAACGGATTCTATCACCAGCCCCACATGGCTCAGGTTTTTGAGGTAAGATTAAATAATCTTTACTTTGAAAATCTTTGCTTTCTGTAAAACAGTTTAGGGTCTTAAAGGTATACTTCTGTTATGTTTCAGATATGTCTAGCCCTCAGCAAATGGATAAAGACATGCCTACTCCTGCAACTAGGAAGGCCTCATCCAAAGCCAAACATTTAGTTTGCAATGAACCACCCCCCTATGGGATGGCACTAGGCTTAAAGTGTGTAATCAATGTCTTTAGAAAAATCCAAACAAAAGGATATGCAATCATTCCTGTTCTGGTCATATTTTTCCCTCCTGTGATCTTTCTTCAGTCCTGCAAGTGCTCTGTGAACCTCCTTTTTTGAACCTTTTGGAGTGTCTTCCATTGAAGAAACTCATACTCAAGACTGCCATCACTTGGTGGCCATCACCTCTGCCAATAGAGTAGGTGAACTTCAGGCTCTTTCTTTATCGGACGATTTTGTTATATTCCATAAGGTAGTGCTCCATCCTAAGCCTTCATTCCTTTCGAAGGTTATTGCTTCTAGAGCTGTTAATTAGCCCATCGTTTTACATTTCTTCTGCAATAATGCCACTTCGCCGCAGGAACTAAAATGACATAAATTGGATGTTAGGGGAGCTTTACAGATCTACCTTTCAGGTTTGAAGGGCAAAGAGCCTCTTGTAATTCACTCTTGTTGGTTGATGCAATCAAGATGGCGTATGCTTCCTATAGCTACTTCTCTTAAAGCACATTCCACAAGAGCAATGTCCACATCTCTGGCAGAAGAGGCTCTTGCTTCGCCTGAAGAAACTTGCAAGGTGGCTTCTTGGTCATCATTCAACACCTTCATCAGGGATCACCGGCTATAGGTGTATTCTCATCCTTTGAAGCTGCATTTGGGCATAAGGTGCTTCAAGCTATTGTGGCGTAATGCCCACCCAATGGCAATCTATCTATATCCCACAAGTACTGCCACCATATACCAGGAAAAAAGTTTACGTACTGTAAATATTTTTTTCTTAATATGATGGCAGTACAATACTCCTTCCCTCTGAATAAAAATTTACTTGTTTGACTTGTGTGGTGTTTTTAATTGCTACGACTGAGCTGGGTTTGCCGGGGTAAGCCTTTAATTTTTTTATGGGATAAAGGGGAGGGAATTTTAATTAACTTCTATCTTGTAGATGCTTGTCCCAATTAAGGAGGCACAACCCACAAGTACTGCCACCATATTAAAAAAATAAATAAAAATTACAGTAAGTAAAAATTTGTTTCACGTTCCGGTTCCCTATCCATTCTCAAATGGCTTGAACATGCACTGATGGTTCAAATCTACAGTGTCCCACACACTCTGCCAATATAAATATTCTTATGGTGTGCAAATGACTAAGCCTCAAAGGCTCTGTGCAACAGCATGAATCTGGATGTATGCATGTGCAGTGACATGGTCAGGTGATAACATTGTAAAGCTTTGTTCTTAAAGCTGTTTGGGCTTGTTGGTCTACAGCTGATATCCTTTTAGGTATTCCCTTCAACTCAAAGCGGCTCTCTCCTTCTGAGTTTGTCTCAAAGGTGACAAAGCCGCTTATGTTGCGGTTGTCCATGGGTGCAGCAATATTAAGTTATAATCTAATGCTGTCACTGAAGGGCAGCACCACGTTCATTCTTTAATCCATGTTGGTCACATACAAAGGTACATTACTGATGTCTATGGTGGAACCTGTCTCACAATCAGTCTGCCTTATTTTCCCAGTTGTCGCTGGGTGGGTGAAGTAACAGATCCTGACCCTGGATGCTCTGCCTCTTGTCAGGCTAGGGAGTTACCATAGCACAAACTGGTCTCTATTTTGTCTTGTACCTTGCAATGACTTTCCAACCGTTATCAGCATTTCCTAAAGATTTTTCTTTATTAAATGCTCAATTGATGCTCCCCCACTTCATGTCTAGACAGACTTTCACTGTGCCCATCATATGTATCCTATAGAATGCTTCTCACAGAGCATCATTTTAATGCTTCCTTATGGAAGCTGTCCGTTATGCGTCAGCATTCATTTAAACAGGATGAATCAGGAAGTCCTTCTGGCTTTCAGATTGACTGACTGCCCGGGGGATGTTCTTAAATTAATTGATATACGTGCTAATTTCTTTTGACATTGTTGCTTTTATGAATTGGGGCAAGCGTGTATGCTGAAGCAGTTTGAGTGATCTGGAATCTTCAGCACTCTTAAGCTTCTATTTTTTTTTTAATTTATTTTTTTTTGTTCGCTTTGATGGCTTTTATCGGTTTACTTGGCTTGTTTTTAAGGGGGGGAGGGTCTCTTCTTCCCAATATTGATGCAATTTGCATATTCACCTTTTGGATGTGAATTATAATCTGAATAATGCAAACTTTCCTCCTGGATTTTTTTTTTTTTTTTCTCAAAAGTGCAGTATTTACCAGGCGTGATGTAGAAGACTGCTACTATGGAAGTAATTATTTACAGAAAAAAATCAGCCTGTTGATCTAATTAAGTCTTGTAAAAGAGAGTAAACACAGAAAATAAGCTGTGGACCTAGTTCTCAGATATGCTTGTTTGGTATGAGCAGTAAAAAAAAAGTTTAAGAACCATTTAATAGATGTTATACATGTTTCTTTTTCCATAGCTTTATTTTGAGTGTCACTATCTTTATTTCACCAGTAGCTTCAGTTTAGCTCTGTCTGGTAGTTCACGCTATAACTTTTGTTTCAGATATGGCTCGAGGACATCAGAAGATTCAATCACAACAAAAAAATGCAAAGAAACAGGCCGAAGCAAAGAAGAAACAAGGACATGATCAGAAAGCAGCAGCCAAAGCTGCCCTAGTATTCACCTGTTCGGTCTGTAGGGTAAGAGACCATTGCTTTTTAAAGGGACACTATAAGCACCAAAACAACTTTCGCTTCATGAAGCAGTTTGTGTGTGTTTCTGCAGTCTCACTGCTCAGTTCTCTGCCATTTAGGAGTTAAATCACTTTATATAATTCTAAAACATAGGTGCCTGTATTGCACAGTCTGTTTAATCTAGATTTTAGCTCCTACTCTAAGGGCAAAGAGCATGTGAAACCTCTAAAGCAAGTTAACATTTGATAGAATTTTTTTTTTTATTTTATTTTTTTTCATGCAGGCTGTGTGGGTCCCAGCTAGGGAAGGTGTGGCTAGGGCTGCATAAACAGGTGATTTTACTTCTAAATGGCAGGAAACTAAGCATTGAGAATCCAGGGGCATGATCCATAAACAAAAAATGCTTCATTAAAGGGACACTCCAGACCCAAATCACGTTGGCTTCTTGGAAAGCTTTGTGTGAAGAGTGTGCTTTTTATTTTTTTGCAAAACGTGCAGATTTCTATAGAAATTGACACTTTTATATATTAACCTGGTTACACCCCTCCCCCCGACTTTCAAATTGACAAAAGGTCCTGTTATTTCCTGGTTTGCTCAGTGGAGCTAAACTAATGAGGCAGCTATTGCGCAGAGCACCTGCCTTGCATAGATTTCTCATTTGAAGTCTGCAATAAGAGACCCACAGAAAGTCTGGGTGGGGTCAGAGGAGGGTTTGAAAAGGAAAGGTTTTGCAAACTGTTTTTAAATATACCCCCTAATGGAAAAAATGAATTATTAAATGACTAAGTTTTCATTTGGGGTATATTGACTAAATTGTGATTTTTTTTTTTTGATTTTTTTTTTAATTTAGCTTGTATTTGGGCATTGGGGTGTTCCTTTAAGATAAACTCTTTTGATGCCTATAGTATCTTTTTAAGATTGCCCTTAAAGTGGCTCTGTCGAGGTCTGGGGTATTTGCATACATTACCAATAGTAACTGCTCTGCTTGGCATCCGGTGGCTGTATGGTACAGCGTAAAGAGAGGTATCTGGTTTTGTGGTTTTTCTTTTTTCCTTTTCTCTTCTTTATTACGCTTACCTGAACCTGTCCCTCGTGGCTGCTGCCGTGGTCTTCCTGCCAGTCAGTTTTAACTGACAGGAGCACATGTTAATGTTAAACTTTAGTGCATGGGTTAACCCTGTTTTTAAGTCAATGGATGAGATTGAGGTATTTCCATTGAAAGAGCCTTTCTATGAGGGGATAACTCTCCAAATGTCTCTCACACAGCTGTGTAGCTTGAGTCACTAAAAATGTACCAACTTACTATATAAAATATTAAAACTATTTTATGGTTAAATTAAGAGCAAAAGTATAAAGCCAAATAGTTACTCTTTCAGGATAGGGTCATGTGTCTTTAAACATAAATATCACTGTCCTCTTAAAGGAACATGATAGGTACATAGACCACTTCATTTTAATAGTGCCATGCCTCTGTTTTAGCCCTGCAACGGAAACCTAGCAGGATTAACATGCCACTAGTGGCTGTCTGACTCGCAGCCGCTAGATGTTCCTCTGTCAAAGTAGCCGAGCTCATTTGACTTGTGCAGTGTGGTGATTTGTTATGCATGAACACTAGCCCCCCAGTGATTTTCCTATTAAGGGAGTTATTTACTAGTGATACTTAGAATTAAAAAAATATTGTGACAGTGTTAGGCTTAAAAAAGTGCCCTGTATGTCTTATGTGTCCAAGGCTGTGTTATTAGCCTGTGACGCTCAGACATTCCAGAGAATATTCTGAGAAATACATGTACTTGTATGCAGCATTGTAAGAATTGGTTTATGGTGTATCTGTTCTGTCTATGGCAGGAAGCTGGGCATACCTTGTAAATCAAAAGGCCCCACCAGAGTGCCACAAGTACATGCATATAGCACTTCTAAGCAAATGCGGCACTATTGATGTTCATTATGTCTTATAATTTCTCTTACCGCTCAGGCTTTTCAGAAATCAAACATGGCAATTCTTTAAACAAACATTATATAAAGTAGTAGTCCGTGGTGAGCCTTTCCTCCCTCTTCTGTAAGTTTACCTCATGCATTTGTATCTACAGACAAATGTTCATAACTTCTATAACCATGAATATTTTAATTTTTTAAATTTTTTGCAGACTCAGATGCCAGACCCAAAAACATTTAAACAGCACTTTGAGAGCAAGCATCCGAAGGTCCCCCTCCCACCAGAGCTGGTTGGTGTGGAGGCGTAAACTGTCAGGTAAAGGCCTTGTGTAATCAAATTATAGAATTCGGGCATGTTTTATCAAAGCAGAAGTTTTGCAACTTTTCCAAGCATTTGCTTTATTCAGCCCTCCTCATCACACACTCACACACCCATTGTGACTCATACATGTGTAAATTAATCATGGTGTCAAATGTCTAGCTTTTTATAATAGCTATTATGACAGCTGTTCGATTAGATAATTGCTAGAGTTTTCACTTCCTTATATTTTTAAGGTTATTTGCAGCAAGCTGCTTGTTTTCTTAAGGCGTTTAGAGAGCTAGAAACCAAACAGCAGCAAACCAATATCTGAATAACCGAATTGTAGTAAAATGGCAATTATGTGACTTGCAGAGTTGGAGTACTTGACCAAAAAGCATATTGGGATGTTTCTTCTGCCTCCCCTCACCTTCATCAATTTTACTACTTGGAGTTTATGCAAGATAGTCTCCTGTAGTTTGCATGCTACTTGTAGCTATATGAAGGAGTTTTCTAGTACTGCAGATTATGGGATGTGCAAGGTGAAATTGTGACCGAACTGCTATTTAAAGATTTTGGCAAACAATGTTAATTTTATTTCTATTCTAATATTTACTAATTTGTTTTTGTTTTATATATTTCAGATTTCATCTGAACAGACTGTTTTCTCCATATGAGCGATATTTTTTTTTTATCAGACAGGGGCTCTAGAAACATCCATATTTTTATGCTGTTCCCTTCATGTGGTTCATACAAAAACCTATGTAAATGTACAGTTACTTACTAATTTGTAAATCGCAAGTCAGGCAATTCACACAAATTTTTACCGTTGTAATTATATTAATTTGATGTCCATAATGTGTATAATTTGTTCAATAAAAGTAGTACCTTGGTTTTAAAGGCTTGTGTTTTTATATATACACTCTTCTAAGAATCTGAAGTTGGAACACTATTTGTGGCACACTTCAATTAGTAAATTCAAAATCATGAATATTCATGAGAATGATCTTGCCTTAAGTTTACTATAATTCCCATGTAGATTGCATAAGGCAGTTTGCCAAACTTGCTTCAAAATGAATAAACTGAAATTAAGACAGCACTCTTTTGTTTTGCACAGGTTTATCAAGTAATCGGTAGGCACTTTAAAACGATCAGTTGGATATCCATTAACCATAAACATGGTGCCTGAAATGAATTTGAATGTTGTAGGTTGGCAATGTGACAAACATGACTATTTGCCTAATGAGTACAGGCCGCATATGCCTTCAGATCAACTTCAATCCTTTTTGCCATGCTGACCTTTAAGTAACAGAAATGTATGACTGTTTTATAACATTCAGGAAATCCTGTTATCTGACAGAGCAGGGAATCTTTACATTCTGCTTTTGAATGTTTAGGTGAAATTGAAAACCTTGTAACTTCATTTGGGTTTCTTCTGGGTTATGGGATTATCAGGAAACTGTCTTGCACCATGTGATTCACCTACTCAGATTGCTGTCTGTTAGATTCACACTCTGGTATATAACGATGAGAAAAAAACCCTGACAATTGGCAGAGATTAAGGAACATACTTTCAGTCACATTTTCTCACAATTGGCCTGTAAAATAAATCCCACAGAAGTGTAAATGAGACATGGGTGTGCAGCAAAATGGTTGCATCCATATACTGAGATCCAGCACAAGGAAGAAAAGAGAATTTAAACTAAAGTCAAGGTGAGCATAGTATGATCACTATGCTATGATGCAGAATATACCATGACCAGGATGCTTTCTCTTCCAGCAGTTCTAAACTGCTAGTAGCAAGCCTAAACTAGTCTTCATCTATAGTTTTGTTTGAAGACTATTTTAGTGTAACATCATTGAACTGTAATTCTACAGTGATGTGCATAATATAACTTATTTTTAGGATGTTCCTAAAGGGTGTGAATGGATGACTGCAAAAGTTCAATTTACTTGAGTCTTTTAAAAATGTCATGTTTTCACTATTTGTATATCATGATGAGCCTGGGTAATTAAGAGGGTGAGGAGGAGAATCCTGATTAGAGAAACCTAATTTTGTTAATTTCCATGCAGGTTAATTGGCAGGAAATCTTTCAAGTGTTTTTGAAGTTGAGTACGTGAGATGTCAAGGTTGTGTTATTTGCCTGACGTCATCAGTATAAATTGTAGATGCAGTGAAAACAATTGACATGGAACAAAAAGCAAGTTGAGTAAAAAGTGTTGGAGGCCTTTGTCACCTCACAATGCATTTATACCAGGTATTGTTAGGATTCAAGTATGCCTGTCCTAACCAGTTTTACGTTCTGCCTTCTATCATTTAATTTTTGTTTTATTTTTTGCACCACTGTTGCATCGGTCGGTATGGAGACCCTCTTACAAAACGCATCTATGGCCAAGAGAGAACACAGTGAAAGAGAAGAAACAATGTTTTTCTCCTTATACTATGCAGTGTCTGCTCTGGTTGTGCCAGGCCTGAACTTAATTATGACACACCAGTTGCGAAAATCTCGTTATCAAAGCTATAGATGGACTTCAAATATTGTGTGTTTTGTTTTTGTTTTTTAAAGAGTAAATATTTTTCACACCCACTTAATGTTCCTGCAGATTAAGGAACAGTGTGCAGTTTTTAAAAAATATATTATAAAATTTAGTGTAGGGTTCAATATCTGGGTACTGTGATGTAGTGGTGGTCTTTATACAATATAGCCATATTGTGTAACTGAAGCCCCATATTTGTTTGGCAAGATTGGTGACTTTATGTAGACTTGTAAAATTGAAGAAAAAGTGTGGGTGCACTGGTTAAAAAAAATCTGTCATTTTTGTACACCATCATTTTATCACTTTAGTGTACCTTTTCAATGCACACATTACGTGATAATGGATCTCCTAAATAAAGCAGGATACCCAGTTTCAAACACAACCTCACACATTAGCCTGGGTGAATTCTCTGAATAAGAGACTTCTGTGATTCCTGTAGTCTAGATCAGTGTATCATAAACGCTCATCAAGAAAGTTGCAGTGGTCTGTACAGTTGCAACCCTGACTAATATTTGACTTTTTTTTTTTTTTCTTCTCTAGATTTGTTTTATTTTTTTTGGGTACTCATTACAATAAAATACTCCAATTTCATTCATACCAACTGTGAATTATATATCTGGGAACATGCAGTTTTGGCATAATGCAAAGATCAATAGGTTGGAGATAGGTTGTGCTGTTTAAAGGAACACGTCACCCAGACCACTTCAGCTCAATGAAGTGGTCTGGGTGCCAGGTCCCTCAGGTTTTAACCCTTCACATGTAAACAGTTTCAGAGCAACTGCTATGTTTACATAGGGTTAATCCAACCTCTAGTGGCTGTCTTCCTGACGGCCGCTAGAGGCGCTTCTGCGATGCTGGATCCGAAATTCGCGTGCAGAATGTCCATAGGAAAGCATTAAGAAATGCTTTCCTGTGAACTTTTAGAATGGGGGAGAGGTCACCAGCGCCGAGGGAGCCTGGCGCTGGATTAAGGTAAGCTGCTGAAGGTTTTCCAGAACATAGATTCGCGGGATTCCCTGTGCTAGTGAGCTGGACTATGTTTGGGGGAATTCCCCCAAACGTAGACCTGCTTTCTTGCGCATACTTGCTAGCATATCCTCACTTACCGACCAATTTGTTTTATTACTGTATCGTAAGAATGAAACTCGGTCGGTAAGTGAGGGGTCTCTAATAGGAGAAAACCACACTTGAAATATGCATATAACCTTAGTACACTGTCCAATTACATAAGTATGGTTGTATTGGTTAATATTCAGTTTGTAAATGGTAGGTAGGTACTCTATTGAGTATGGATACCCCAAAAAAGAAAAAAAAATATATATATATTCTTTCACCCCTTCCTACTGCTCTGTAATTAGGTAAACAATTTACGCATAGGCATGCTCTATCATAGTAATCAGAGTCAAAGGATATATGCTTTCTTCAAGTGTATTGTTTTGGGTTTTTTTCCCCGTGATTCTTATTATAAACACTATTTCTTGAATAGAATTATGTAGAAACGTTATAGCTGGTGGATGAACAATATACATCGTATATAGTGATACACATCTCGCTTGCTGGCAAAGGTGTTTATGTGCTTTGTTTGTCTTTTGGGTTTTTTTTTTTTTTTTTTTTGTAGGATCTCATATTTTCATGTGAGCGTGCAGTATTGATTCTTTGGTAGTATATTTGGGTTTTGTGAGCCCTGATACCAGCACCACTGGGTCTATACTGGGCCGGTACCGTAGCTTTAAAAAAAAAAAAAATTTGCAGCTGTGTGGGATTAGTCCACATTTCTTCAAGAAGCATTCAATTGGAAAATCCCAGCACAAACTAATCACTTAAAGGGACACTAGTTGCCAAAACAACCTTAGCTTAAATAAGCAGTTGAGGTGTATAGATCATGTCCCTGCCATTTCACTGCCTAATCTGCTATTTAGGAGTTAAATCACTTTGTTTAGGCACACCTCCCTGAATGTGCATTGCACAGCCTTCCTAAACACTTGCTGCAGCGAGTCGTCTAATGTTTACATTTCCTTTATTGCAAATTCTGTTTAATTTAGAATGTATCTCTTGCACTGTTAATAGCTTGCTAGAGCCCCTTGTATTTAAAGTTCAATTTACAGGGCAGGAGATATTTTAAAAACTTTTTTTTTTTTTTTTTAAAGTAACATATGATTGAAAATGAAATAATTTTTTCATGTAGACTGGGTAAGTCAGAGCCAGGGGAGGTGTTGTTAGGGCCGCACGGACACAAACAGTGATTAAACTCCTAAATGGCTGTTAATTGAGAAGTGAGACTTCAGAGGCATGATCTATACACAAAAACTGCTTTATTAAGTTAAAGTTTTGGTGATTATAGCATATGCATTACAAATATGCATCTTGTAGCAGTTTATATTTAAAAGGCCATTGTACAGTCTGTGTATTTTTCTTTTTCACCCTTCTGCTGTGATGCTGTACTCCACTCCTGCCACTGGAGGAAGTCAATTATATACTGAATAGTCCCACTGTAGTACTAGAACTGATCTATGTGCAGAGCAATCCGTTTTAACCTTTCTGATTTTGGGAGCATTTACAGTAGTGTAATCCAGTCTATTTAAGGAAATGTTAAGAGTTAATTACTAAACTGTGAATTGTGAAGCTCAGTTTCTTTTTTCATTAGTTGCCAAATTCGAATTTTGTTTTCCACTTTGGCAATTTGCGTCTAATATGACCAATTCTCTTGTCAATTCTGCAGTTTTAGGATTAGAAAATATAACTCCTTTAGTTTCCCATGATAACACCTAATGTAAAGAGATTTCTTGCTACAATAAAGCTGCCACATTCATTATAATTCCAACACTTTACAGACCTCTATACTCCTCTGTCTGGCCCTATACAGGGAAGACATCATTTAAATTAACTTGCTATGTTGACTCCATGAAATAGATTTTTATGGAATCAACTTTATTGTTTGAAACTAATTTATTTTACATATAAGGTGAGGTTTGCTGAATTCAAAATAGTGAAACATGTAATAAGTAGGAATTTCAATCAAGCGGAGTAAAAGCTCAAAAGGGAAAACAGAAAATAAAGAATAGTCTTAACAAGGGAACATTTGTGCTCTGTAGTATCTATAAAAAAACTGAACATAGTGTAATCCACTCTCTTATAAGCGAAGACACGCAATTTATTTAGTAAAACTCACAGTAGGATAGATGATATCTGGCACATCATCATTAAATGAAATATATGGGATGAGGTGGCTGCAAGAGGTGATGGTATTCTGACCCTTAAACAAAGCAAATAAGCCAAATAGTGCAGATGGACATATAAACCATTTATTAAAGTTGCACTCACAAGATAAAAGCTCATTAGAGCATGTCTCTGACTCCGGATGAATAAAATCTTAAAAGAAAGAAAGTTTACAAAGAAATTTCTTTCAAGATTTTTATTCATCCTTATTATTGTTCCAGCACTTGGACACTTCTACCACAATTGCATCCAGGTCTAACGAAGGTGGAGACATGGTGACTTCTCAATCATCGGCACAGCTGCCATAATCTTCTGTTGCAAAGCTTTTCAGCAAGCTGAAGGACAAGGGGCAGAGAGATCCAATGCTGGAAACCAAATTTTGAGTTAAACCACTCGTGAACAGTTTAACCCCTAAAGGTGAGTCAGTGCCAGGGATCTCCAGGCACCAAAGCAACTTCATTTTGTTTGATGTTGTTATGGTACATACACTGGTTCATTAATGTACTACTACGAGAAAATAGAGCTTAAATGGACACTATAAGCTCTAGAACCACTACAGCCTAATGTAATGGTGCACTGCAGTCTTAGCAGTGTAAACACTAGTCTTTTCACTGCCACCTAATGCCACTAGAGGGACCTCCTGGATGGGATCCTGCAAAGATTGCCAGAAGCTTAATATATAGATGTACTGAGTCAATGCATCTCTGTGAAGAGATGCTGATTGCACAGAACAGTGTTTGCAGTACATACGCAAGAAGCTCCCTATGGAGAAATATTGGATTGGTTAAGATAATCAGTATTGATACTATTGGTGGTGGGGTGTGGAGCGCATTTCTAAATTGCACCAATATCACTCAAACATTAGGAATTTATATTCATAACAGAGTGTTCCTTTAACAAGCTATAGGTGATTTTTAATGTTTTATTTATTGATGTGATTTCTAGAAAAGTTCCATTTC